AACCCTGCAAGGTGTTTGTGATTCTACTTTTGTCTCCAACCAATAATGAGAAGAGAGGAAAACAGAACTCGTAGATGATGGCAAATGGAAATTAGTGCGGGTAAAGGAGACCACATGCCTAAGAAGCTTGAGAGAGACAATCATAATAATTTAAAGAAACCCAAAAACTGATTAAGCTCAAGCAAGGCTTTTGCAGAAAAAGAGTCAGAAAATTCAGGAAGAATGGAAATTCAGTTAGAGTCACTTAAAATCTGTTTTAAGCTCAAGCAGACCTGTTGATATGCGTATTTTTTTCTTTTTTGGATTTCATATCAACTCAGATGGTAGCAGGAGGTGCTTCATCTCATATACAAAAGCATCAGGCCTTTATATTTGCTTGAACAGATTTTCCAAAGGCAAAAGGCATACTCACAGATGTATTTTGGGTACACTACTAAATGAAGAATAGCGCTTTTTATTTTTTATATTTTTGATAAAGACAATGATTAAAGATATTAGTACGTTAGAAGTGTTAGTATATAGGGAGTGTATTGAAGCTAAACATGGATGCAAACCACGGGCTGACTCAAAGGGCAGCAGGTGACTATTAGGCCACGCACGTGAAATGCTAGCGCTTTTTATTTTATGGGTCTCACATAGTGGAAAGCTGGTAACGGCCTATTCTTTAGATTCAGATATAACTCATTTACTTTATTAATGAGTCAAACCCCATTGTTGCAAAGTCATTCAATTATAAATTGCGAACTATATTACAGGAAAATTGACTTAATTGGTAAAGATTATACATATTTTTCTTGAACTGAACGTGTTTTTATTCTCTTTATTGTATTGTACAAAAATCTCCATTCTTTTAGCACATGATTATAGGTACATTATTTATTGATTTAACTAAAATTTTTGAATCAAAATTTTCTGATAAAATTAAAAAAAAAATCTGAGGAATTAATAGCTGGATTTCAGGAGTAAAGGTGCAAAAAAAAAAAAAGATATTAATTTTATAATTTTTTTATTTAAAAATGTTAATTTTTAATATTTTCTATTTAAAAATATGACTTTCAATTTTTTTTATTTAAAGACATCAACTTTAAACTTTTTTTATTTAATGATTCATCGGATAATAATGTTAATATGGTAAATAAATTTTTTAATTGAAATATTGAAAGTTAATATCTTTAAATAAAAAAAATTTAAAGTTAATATTCTTAAATAAAAAGTGTTAAAAATTAATATTTTTAAATAAAAAAATTATAAAATTCACATTTTTTTTACACCTTTACTCCCTGGATTTCAGAGTTTATGGACAACATTGCATTTTAGCTAATTCTGCAGCCCGCTCTCAAAAATAAATTATTTCATAGAAAAAAAAGGAAAAAAAAAAAAAAAGAAAAACGGTAAAAATGCAAAACTAACGTTGGGAAATTTTTAGCCCCAATTTGCCTGCTCTTGTTCGTGTTCTCAACTTCAAGACTCTGTTAAGCGACAGTAAGATGAGGAATTGGAGAGGTGCTTTTCGATCGGCCTCGTCTTCGACTTTGGGTTCTCGCCATCTCCAAATGGGTAACATCAGATCAACTTTGCTTTGTTTTTACTGTTCTTGTTTCAGTACTCATTCTCGTAAAGGCACTGCCACTGGGTTTAAGAGGATTAAACCCATATATGAATTTGATAAAATTGATGATGCTCTGAAATTGTTTCATCAGATGATCCGTGGTCATCCCCGTCATTCAGTCGTGGAGTTTAATAAACTTGTATCCGCAGTTGTTAGGATGAAATATTATGAAGCTGCTGTTTCTTTATGTAAACAGATGGAATTGAAGGGAATCCGAGGTGATGCAGTTACGTTTGCCATCCTCATTAATTGTTTCTGCCGTTTAGGTGTCCTGAATTTTGGTTATTCTGTTGTTGGGAAAATGTTTAAGCTTGGTGTTGAACCTGATGTTATAGTATTCACCACGCTAATCAATGGGCTTTGTGTACGAGGCAAGTTTGCTGAATCTGTGAGATTACTTAATGACATGGTTCGGGATGGACATCAGCCTGATTTAATCACTTATAATACACTTGTAAATGGTTTATGTAAAATAGGGAAAACCAGTGAAGCTGTTCGGTTGTTGAAGAAGATGGGAGAAGGTGGTTTCCAACCTAACATTATAGCTTACACCACGGTCATTGATGGCCTTTGCAAGGATAGGCTTGTAACTGAGGCATTGGACCTATTCTCTGAAATGATTGACAAAGGCATCTTACCAGATGTTGTCACTTATAATTCATTGATTCAGGCTATGTGTGATTCAGGGAAGTGGGATGAGGTTAAAATTTTATTGAGTGAGATGGGCAGTCAGGGAATCAAACCGACTGTTTTCACTTATAATATATTGGTAGATGCATTCTGTAAGGAAGGGATGGTGTCAGATGCTCAGAATATGATTGATGTAATGATTAGGGAAGGCATTGAGCCTAGTGTTGTCACTTATAGTGCGTTAATAGATGGATATTGTTTGCGTGGGGAAATGGATGAGGCAAGAAAAGTATTTGATTTGATAATTAACAAGGAATATGTTCCTAATGTAGTTAGCTACAGCATCATGATCAATGGATACTGTAAGGCCAAAATGGTAGATGAGGCTGTGAACCTCTTTCATGAGATGTCTGACAGAGGTTTAACCCCCAATACTGTAACTTACAATACTCTTATAATGGGCATGTCCCAGGTAGGAAGGCTGTGTACTGCACATGAACTTTTTGAAGAGATGGTTGCTTGTGGTCAAGTTCCAGACGTAATGACTTATTCAATTTTGCTAGATGGCTTGTGCAAACACCGTCATATTCATAAGGCATTGGAATTGTTTCAAGCAATTCAAAGAAGTGGATTTCAACTTAACATTGTACATTATACTGTTTTAATTGATGGCATGATCAGAGCTGGACATATTAGTGGTGCAAAGGAATTATTTTCTGGACTTGCTATGAAAGGGTTACATCCTAGTGTTCACACATATAATACAATGATTAAAGGACTTTGCAAAGCAGGAGCACCAAATGAGGCTTATGAGTTGTTCAGGACAATGGAAGAGGATGACTGCTTGCCAGATAATGGCTGTTATAATACAATGATCCGAGGATTTCTTCAAAACAATGATATGTCAAGGGCAAGGCAGCTAATTGATCAAATGGTTGATAATGGATTTTCTGCCGATGCGTCTACATCAGCCATGGTAGTGGATCTATTACTGAGTGATGGAAAAGATAAATCAACTTGTGGAAGAGTTGATACACGTGAAGAGATTACTGGAGC